AGATGCGTCATAGACAATAGTAGATAAGTCGGAACTAAGATCAAAGGTACTTTCTTTTGCGGCTTTGATCTAATAATAAGAGATTGAATAAGAAATTTTTAATAAGATTTTTACAAGAAAATCACGAACAAGAGTCAGAAATAATTAGCAATATAATTTTATTATATTACTCCTACTATCCGAATTGCGATATAAATTTTCTGCGTTGAAAGAAATAATCTTATATTGTTTACTCGTCAAATCTAATAGATAAAGCAAGTTGAAAGATAGACAGAAGTATGTAAATAAGTAAAGGACGTTTATTATTTATGTCTATGACATGTTTATCTATTTGATGAATATTTTTCAGTAAATAAAGAAACTAAAACATTTTATAGTTGATTAATATATCACACGTACTGTTTTCTTTGTTTGCATTAATAAACTATTAGTTTATATAAAAGCAGACTATACGTATGATTATCTTCTCAGCCTATTTTAGTATCAATAACTAGCGAATCAATTAGCATTAATTAATCTGACAAGATCAATTTTTCACATTTTTGAAACGCTTCCCACTTTAACATCCTTCCTGTCACTAGTTATTGTTCTGTCTCTTGTCACCTACCCTGATAATATATTTGAGTTTTTTCCTCCTCCACCACCTTTACTTATCTTTGTGCTGCTGTAGAATCTTACATATAGTTCTACTCTTTATACCGGAAATATATTAGAATTGATATTTTTCATTTATAACTACTTATTATTAAAGTAAATTTTTTGAACGAATTTATTATTATTATGAAAAATATATAAGGACTTAATAAATATCAAAAAAAAAAGTTACCTCTTGTTGGATAAATCCATTTTTTTCTGTTGAAAATATATAAGTGGATTAATCGAGATAAAATCTAATAGTATATATATATATCATCTACTAATTTATCTCGAATCGAAAAGAAATGAACAATATGGGGTTGCTCAGTTAAGCACAAAAACATCAATTTGTAGTATTGCCGTGCACTATGATTTCTTTTTCTCATCGGTTATATACTTCTGTATGTCTGTCTTATTTTATTGAAAATAACAAGTGTAACAGTGCAAAAAAACTAAAATAGAATTTGCCATCTCGTCATTTTTTTTCTTATTTCCTTATCGTTCTTAACAATTCTTATATATATATATATATTTCTATATGTTTCTCTATCTTACACTTAGAAATGCTTGCTTTTATACTTCCATATAGTTATTATCCAACGATTTACTGCTTGAAACTCCACATTGATGGGATTTATATTATACTAAATAAAACATTATACAACAATTGATGAGTCAAAAGACAACATGCGAAGTCGCTATTACTTCAATCACTTCTAGAGTATATAGACATATATTCGTATGCTTTTAAAAAAATGATTTTTTTCTGTTTTTGGCATTGATTACTCTGTTGCATGTTTCATTATTTGATGATGATGAAATACAATATTCATGAAGCCAAAAAAGCTTTTTGATCATACATTTATCAAAAAAATAAAAAAGAAATTGCTGTCAGAATACCAACAATTGTATGACACAGAACAAATTTTCTCATTAAAAAAAGAAAAAAAAAACTAATATAGACATAAACAATTGATTTTATCTAACAATTAAGGACTTCTCACTTCCATTACATATATTAATTGAGATAAATATGTTTTTTTTCTCGTCAAGTAGTACTTACTATTGTTTGAATATAAAGTATTAAAGAAGATATAAATTAGAATTATAGATAATATTTTTACATTTGAAACTAATTTTGTCTTTTCATGGGTTATTATAACATTTTGATGGAAGAATATAAAATTCAATATTCTTTTGTTTAATATTATTCGTGCTAATCTTGATCAAACGTAATTAAGATGTGGAGTGTACCTACGCAGCAATCAATGTCAAATTGAAGTATTGCGTTGCTCTTCATTTCCAAGTTGTAATAGAATTTTTTTTTAAAAGCTAAGAAGTCTACGTTCTTTTTTTGTAGTTGCTTTAACATCAACGCACCATGAGGCCCAGACATTAATTCAATAAAAGCATGCGTGATTTTTCCTGTAGTATTTTTTATCAAATTTTACAATATTCAGGCGACTATTTTATTGTAAAGCAAAGGTCAGAATGCTTTTCTGCACTAAAACATTGATATATGAATCTATTTATTAAATGATCGAGATTCAATGCAATTCGACTCTATGAATCTATTCATTAAATAAAAATGTTCTTCTATGTTGCAAAGTTTTTAATATCGTTTCATCTTTCATAATAGAAACAGAATCCATTATCTTCTGTCTAATGAGTTTTGAGAAAAAGTATCAGTTAGCTTTATCCTCTAAATATAAATCACATTATATACTATTTCATAAGATCTAAAAGTTTATTCATTGTAAAACTAATAATATTAGATTCTGAAATGTAGTTATAAATATTTTCCAGTTTGTTTCATCTATTCAAAATGATTATTTCACGTGAATTAGTAATACTCAAAAATAATTTATTATTGCCTTTTTCTATAAAGAAAGGTAACATTATTAATAGATTCACAAAAAAAAAGAAAAACACGATGTGGAATTAACGTGCTTTACTATGCCAAAAGCTATACGTAAAATAGATAATAATAGATATAAAAATAATACCAATATATCCTAACCAATCATGAGCATCTTGAAAAATCATGAGAAAAATAAAAATTGTTATATTAATTAAGGGTATTAAAGGAATTCCAGGACATATAAAAAGTAAATTTTTAGAATATTTCCTTGGTTTTAATAGACAAAAAATAAATGTAATTATTAAATTAATAATTATACAAATAATAACTATGATAACATGTAATAAATAATGTTGATTAAATATATAAATAACAAAAGTAGCGAGAATAACTGTATTTGGAATGAAGATTAATAGTAATAGAACAGAAGAAGTTTTTGGAGATAAATATTTATCAATCAATGGAATACATCGATGACAACATGAACGAACTATTCGTGTTAAAAATGGATCTATTTGCAAAATATTACTTAATTCAATTTCTGGAGTATCATTATCTTTTTTATTATCTAATTCAAATATTTCTTCTTCTTCGTCTTCGTCTTCTTCACGAGCTAGTATAATACGATAAGAAGTTTGATGATTATATCGTTCAATAAGTAAACCAATTGACACACCCATATAACTAAGAAGAGCAGAAATATCAGCAAAACCAATCAGATCCTTCATTAACAAAAACATAGAGATGAATTTTATTTTTATTTCATTATTTTTCTTACTTTAATATCAAAAAATGTGCCAAGTAATGCAATAACAACACAAACTAAACATGTTGCAATTACTGGTACATGTCTTCCATCACTTACATAACTTAATTTCGATGGTAATAATCCATCTGTTGACATAGCGTAACTGTGAAGAAAAAGTAAATAGAAAACATATTTTTGGTTTATTAAAAATATTTACATTGTACGAATTGTTCCATATGTTCCCGAAAGTAAATTTCCTCCAGCACTACATACAATAGCTATTGATATAATATAACCTATTTGTGGCCATTTGGATTGTTTATAAGCACTTGCAAATGCTGAATTACTATCAATATCTTTATATGGAACTAAATATGTTAATGAAGCACCGGCTAATGAATAGAGTGATGTAACAATAAGAAGTGATATCACAGTTGCTTGTGGAACAGTTTTAGATGGATTTTTCGCTTCTTCTGTCGCTATAGTTGCCATTTCAAATCCAATATAAGAATAAAGTAATAGAGAACTACCACGAAATATATTCTGTATTCCAAATGGAGCAAATGGTTGATAATTATGTATATCACCAAGAATAAATCCAGTTATACCAATAACGAGTAGAGCCGACATATTAAGTATAGTTAAACTATTTGTTAAATATTTTGAATTCCGTAAACCAATAAGTAGAGCTAAAGTAAGAAATATGGTTACACTAAAAGCTAATAGATCAGGCGATTTAGCAAATGGTGCCGGCGCATTTGGCCATTGAATAATATGGTGAACAATAAAAGAATTAATTTTATTATCAAATAAAGCATCAAAATATGTAGACCATACTCGAGCACTAACAGCTAAACCAGTCATTCCACCGACGATCGTTGTAAATCCCTTGAGAGAAAAAAATGAAATCAATATACAAAATTTTTCCGAATGAATGATTTTACCACAAGAAATGCAAGTAATTCACCAATTGATTCATATATAAATATATATGATGAACCAGCTCTAGGAATACGAGCAGCAAATTCAGCATAACAAAGAGCACCTATCATATAACAATAAATAAATATATATATATCTTTCTTATATTTATATTCTATTACCAAATAAACAGGCGAATGCAGCAAGTAAATTAGCAAGAATAATTGCTGGTCCAGTTTGATCTTTGGCAACTACTCCAGTTAACACATATATACCCGATCCAATCATTCCACTTACAGTTAAAAGTATCAAATCAAATAAATTTAAACATCGTAAAAGCGGAGTGTCTAAATCATTCGTTTTAGCGTGTTTTTTACGGAATAAACTTTTCCAACGCATTTTAAATTTATCTAAAATAAGATATAGGAAATCATATATTGAATAAAACAATATTTCTGAGGCTACCCTTGTTTCAAAGATTAATGAAAACATTTAGGTTTTACGATTTAATTGAAACAAGAAAAATCATTTATTTGGTCAGAATACAATTTTATCTTTGATAGATCACTTGCTCGACACTATAATTGTCTTCTACTTTTAGTTAAAGATAAACTCATTATTAATTGATTCATTTTATTAGGATTTAAACTTTAATATGTCAATAAAATTGTTTAAAAAATAAATAAAATTGAGAAACGATGAATTCTTTTTTTAATTTGCATGTACTTTTATTTGGTTAATATAAATTTCAAATTTTTTTTCATACAAAAACAAAAGCACACACATAATCTTTTATAATTATGATAAAATAAAACATTGCAACAAAATACATAGACTAATACTGGTTACGACTATGAAACGAGATTCAACGCAAATCATTTCAGCTTGAATGAATAAAAGTAACAAAGGAAGATCTGCGCTATTAACATCAACTTAAATGTAATACATTTTCGAGGATAAATCAGAACAAAATTATTAAAAAACACACACACACACACACAACTATTACATACAAAATTTCATCACAGAAATACACACACTGTTCAAGAATTATATTTTTGATGAATATTTTTGTCTTTGTTCAAATTCAATTTGACTATCACTATCATCATTTTCATGTTCATTTAAATTGATAGTAGCATTTCCATTACTTGTTGTTTTAAATGGTTTTAATCTATGATTATTTGATTTTATAATTCCACCATTATTATCTAATACATCATCATCCTCGTCTTCATCGTCATCATCATTATTAAGTACACTATAACGATCAAAATCTCGATAACGTCGTTTTAAAATTGACCATACAATTGCTGATTGAATCAAAACAAATATACTCGCTAATAAACCAAGCCAAATAAATAAAACAGTTATTATTAATATATGTCCATGACTTGGTGACCATAACCAATAAGGATCATCCGATGGAAAATAAAGAATAAAACCAGCTGCATAAAACCTTAAATAATTCATAAAGAACTTATATATTCACATCAAATCTTTTTCGTTTAAAATCCTTACCAAGCTCCTTGTAAAAGTGTTGCAACAATTCTACAATAACTAGCTAAAATTTGATTGGGTCGATTAAATTCCCATATACCAGCCAAAACACAAAATGATATATTATAAACCAGTAATGTATGAACATGAATATCAATATCATTTCTACCATGAAGATGAAAATGAAATAAAAATCCTTCAACACTAAATGCAAAAATATTTGCAATATATTCAATTCCTTTTGGTAAATCATATTTAGCATGAACAAGTATTTCAATTAATGAAGCAAAACCAAATGAAAAAAACATTGTTATATGTTGAGCATTAACTTCAACAAATGTCCAAACACGTTTTTGTGATGTACTATCATATGGATGTTTTAAACCAGTTACAGCTTCACCTAATATACCAATACTAACACAGATTAATTTTACATAAGATTCAAGAGGAATTTGTCGTAGTGATGATGAACAACATAAACATGCGAATGTTGTTGATGATTGATATGGATTTGGTTTTCGATTTTTTTTTGATGAATGACGAGAATGAAAATGTTTTACGGCAACACAAAAACCCCACCATATGGCAAATATAGCGAAGAATGTGCCAGGTAAAATATGACCCATTAGTGTACCCATCTTGATTTAGAATGATCTATCTAAAAAAAAGAAAGAATAATAGTAATAAAGTTTGAAGTTTTTCTATTGTTATCGCTCCTGTCTTTTTCTTTCTGTCAAAGAAACAAAAATCATCATTCCCATCACAAAATCCCCATTCATATCAGTAGAACGTGATGAAATGAAAGAGAATCGGCATCTTTTTATGGCAAGAGATATACGTTGCCATAACATCTATTTTGTATACTTGAAATAATCTTATATTTCATTAGTTGTGAATATTCTCGTTGTTTACGGAGTATAAAAAGGCTATGAAGAATATTTTTTTATAGGTAAAAGTTTAAGTATTTTGATACGAATATTAAATTTAATATTTGATTTGAAATACAATATAAATGTTGGTAGTCATTTTATATTTTCTCATGAAATTCGGTGTTTAAATAATAATCATAATATCTTCTCTAATGTATATTTATATATAACGTTCTTTTTCGACCTTAACATGTCTAACCTGTCAAATAAACGTGAAGTTTTTACTATAGTTAAATATCTATTTACTCATTTCTGATAGTTTTATCTCTATGATACATCAATCGATTATATAAAAATTTTAAAAAAATAATTCAAGATTATATTAAAAACCGAAAATTTTCATTCATAACTCAACAACAATAGGTGGTTGTACTGGACGATAAGCAAGATCACATGTAGATGCATTAACAAATATAGTTTGTTCATCATCATCTTGTTGTTTTCCATATCCTTCATGTATATGTCCAAATACATGAAGTTTTGGTTTAATAATTTGTACACGTTCAAATAATGCTTTACAACCAGCATGTTCTTTTCCTTTTGTTGAATCAAGAATACTATATGGTGGACCATGTGTTATTAAAATATCTGTATCCAATGGTATCTTATTCCATACTGAACGAATCTCTTCACTATCACGTTTAATATTAAATGCCCAATTACAAAATGCAGGTTGCCATGGACTAAATCAAATGATGATGAATAATATATATACATATGTCATTTTTTATTAAACTTAAATATACCTTCCATAAAATTTTAATTGAGTTACAGGATCAATAAATATTTGATCCTGTAAATAAATAATTCCATAATCATTTTGAAGTGTTGAATCATTAAACATGTTAATAATTTCTATAGTATTTTCCGGTTCCATATGAATCCATTTCCAATTTGTATCATAATATGTTTTATCAAGTGTTACATCATGATTACCAGCAATTAATATTTTTAAACGAAATTGTTTTAAACTTTTAAACCAATTTAAAACATATTCACATTCATCACGTTTACCTGTTTGTGTTAAATCACCAGCATGTATAAGAATATCACCATCCGGTAAGGTGAAACCATAATTTGAATGAGTATCGGATATACAAACAATACGAGTAGACACTTTCCTATGCGCCGCCATAAGATCAAAGTTGAAAAATTCTATGTACTCACCTTACAAAGTAGTACTGGTTACCTTTACAAATATCTGACTCATCAAAAATGAGAAATAAAAGAATATATTTATCATCTAGTGCAAATATTAAAATTTGATGTTGTTATTACACATACTGTGAAAGAAAGGAAGTCAAAAAAACTGTTAGATAATGCAATACAGAACTAACTAGCCAATCAAGATATATAAATAATAATTTGACATAAATTTATATTTTAAGGCTATCGTTGTATTTGGAAGAATTTGAAAAAAAAATAAATAGAATGAAAATAAATGAATAACTTTCAAAACAAAATATCGTCTGGCGCCATCTATCGTTAAGAGCAAAAAAATGATGTCGTTACATTAAAACAAGAAACACATTTCTTTAGACAATTAATTGAATAATTTGAAGTGGATATTAGTAATTCAAGAAACGCTATAATTATCTTTCATCATTCATGTAAAAAATGTTGATTATATTTTGGTAGAAACTATTTCTTTCTTTTTTTTTGAAATATATTCATCGGATAATATTCTTTTAGTTATAATTGTTGTAGTTCGCAATTTTATTTACTACTCAATACACACCTGTGTAAATCATTTGAAAAAATCGTTCTGCAATGAAAGCAATTTCTTATGTAATTATTTTATAACAGAATAAAAGATATAAGTTTATTAGTGTCAATACATGCACTCAAACAAGTTTATTCTTTTAGTATTAGTACATAAGTGTGCCCGTTATTCGATTTTATAGATATATCCATTGCCATTTATATTCAATTGCATCATCAATTTTATATACATACTACTCATTGCTCTAGAACAACGAATAAGGAATCTATGTTTAATGATATCGTTCAAGTTTGCTTGCTGTTCGTGACAGAAAAAGCGAGGGAAGCATAATAAAATCAACAAGATTGAAGAAAAGAAGAAAAAAAAAGAGAGAATCATGTAATACGCATCATAGTTGGGCTCTACGGCATATCCTGTATGATGAAAAATTTAATTGTTTGCCAAGGTAAATATTATAGGTTGATACAACATAAAGCAAAATTTGAATGAAGAGAGAAAAAAAAGAGAAAGAAAGAAAGAATGTAGGTGTTATGATAATCGATTGAGACAAAAACAAGTTAGTAGTAACATTTAAATCTATTCCGTTTCGTTTTTTTTTATTAATTATGTCTTGCTTTATCCTTCTCTAGTATATATAAAGAATCAATAACAGTTGGTGGTCGAAAATTACAATTCGATTTATGTTGTCTATTCATTGAAATCCTTCATTCACAAATGTTATTTGCATCCTTCGTTCATTTAATTTGAAAATTGTCACTTGTCATTCTTAACAAAGATCGAAGACGTAAGTACGATTATTTAATAGAGAAAAAAAAAGAGAGAATAGGATTATTCGTTCGGTTTTCTTTTATGATTTGGATATATGATAGTAGTGTTCTCTTTAACTTAAATCAAGTATGAGTGTCAAAATTCTACACCATAATTATTTGCATTCTGAAGACGTATCATATGGTACAACACGTTGTTTAGGTTCTTGAGGTCGATATTCACGCTTCCAATTAAAATTTGGTGAGTAGTTTCCATCAGAACCATTACATGATAAATGTATTGGTGCTATTTCATAAAATGTTTGAAGAACAGCTGTAGTTAATGGAGTCCAACGTATTGATCGAAAATTTTGAAAAATTGTTTGATTGTTACTTGTGTTTGAACGATCATATCTAAAAGAATTTTTATTATTATTGATAATATTTAAATAATACCTTACTCGTTCATTGTTTCAAAAAATCGATCGAGTTCATCATCTTCTACACTTGTTTTACATAATTCAAGTTTACTTCTTGGATAATAATGCATATAATTAACACACATTTCATCACTAATACCATATCCACCAAATGTCATATCTTTTCGATCTTTGGTATTATAAATACATGTATGTAAAATAGTATCACCACGATAAATTTGAATTGGTTCAGGTAAAAGACGAATTTCTTGAAAATGTGGACTATAATGTCGATCAACATTTAATGTAACAATTTTGCCATTTTTTCTAATAATACGTGTAAATACTTCGACACCAGTAAGATGCGTATGTAATTGTGATGCGAATACTGTTATACCTTCTGGTGATAAAGAGGCATGTGTACATTCACCAGCACAATAACCAGATATACGAAATGATGATGATCCTGGTGGAATTGAATTTTTTGGATTATATTCAAGTCCAACTTCCATAATGCCAGCTTCATGTTCTCGTAAATCTTTCGTATAATAAATTCGTATACCAGATTGATCAATAATACCTTTTTTTAAATATGGATTATTAAAATGTACTTCAAGAACAAGAAAACGTGATGTTTTTGGACCACCAACTACTCCACCTGTTACTTCTGGATAAGTAAAATTTGTTGCACCCATTGCCCATGCACCAATAACACGACGGCATGGTGTTAAACCCATTGGTTTTTGTTCACTTGTACAAACTCCATTAAATTCTGGAATTTTCATCTTTACGTCAACATCACAATGAAATAATTCCATATGATGTACAACACCTTCACTCTGTGGTGAAACAATACCATCAAAACGAATTATATGATGTTTTTCAGCCATAATATTTTGTGGTAATTCAAATCTTGTACACCAATATGTTGTTTCAACATCAGGAATAAGAACATCTCGATTTAAAAACTCAACATGTGGTTCATCATTTGGTACTGGTGTAAAACTAGCCTAGATTTACTCAAAAATTTTCAATATATATATAAAATAATTTTGAAAATTATAAACCTACTTGACTTTTAAGTAATTGAACACGTTGTAATGTTAATTTCATACGTTCAACATTAAATTCTATTAATTTATTTTGTGTCGTTTTTTTAAAATCATCCGATGTCATTAATCCTGTCAATAAATGTACAGTACTACGATCAATAATATAATTTCGCTCTTGTTCATCGCATGTATTCAATGGTCGAATAAATTGTATTGTATATTTCTTTTTCTTTCCATTTTCAGTACTAACACTATTGACTACCTTATAATCTAATTTACTACTATCATCTGGTAAAAATAATAAACTTCTGTCATTCGTATATGCATTATACAATTTTTCGTTTTTGCCAAATATAATAACATCTGCTCGATTTGTATCTAAATCATAATTTGAAAATGCAAGTATACCGCTATAACCAATTGGTAATGTAATATGCCATTGAAAAATCAGTCGTGTATCATCATTTTGATAATAATCCCATTTGAGTGTACTGTCTAATGGTTCAGATAATTGAACCATATATTTTAATTCAATATTATCTTCTTCTACTAAACAAAAACTACCTTTAATGATAAATAGTATTAATAATAATTGCGATCGTAACATTTTTGTCGTATGCGTGTGTGCAAAACTTCTTTTTGTCTTGATTTGAGGGAACAAAAAAAAAGACAGATTAGTTCTTTTTTTTATGATTGCCTACGATTATTAGTTAATCAGAATTCAATGAGATACAACACGACAATAAATCTTCAGGAACTAACATGTTTTTCCAGTCTTTTCTTTTTTTTTGTTGTTTAACATTCAGGATCAAATAGAGAAGCGTTCCGCCCATTATTCTTTATTTACATAGAAAGATACATAGATGACATCCGGTTAGAAAAAAATCAATCAATATTATTCTGTCATTTTTCTTAAAAAAAAACGAATATTATGATAAAGAATTGAAAGGTGACAGAAAATCATAGGTTAAATTGATCATATTTCATGTTGGCGGTATATTTATAGACAGCAGAATACATCCATCATTCATGCATTCAAGTAGCTTTCATTTACTTAAATATATTTCGTTGTATATGTCTTTTGTGTTGTATTTAGTGAAAAAAACGTGTGATTACCAGTTAAAATAACAAAATAAAGGGCATGTGTGCGTACGAAAAAAGACCTTCTTAAACATATTTATATTCATGATTGGATGTAAGAAGAGAAAGAATCAACAATACAATTTGAGAAAAAAAAAACTGCTTGTCTTTTTGATGAGTTCTTATATTTTTAAGAGACTACCTGTTCTTAATCGTTTTCAAAAGAAGAAGAAGAAGAAGAAGAAGAAAAAAAAGCGAACGATATTTATTTAGGAAATAAATAACGAATATGAGCTTTCAAAGTGTACAATATTGTTTATTAATAGAAAAAGAAAAATAATCAGTACTTGAATTTTTTTTTCTCATATATTTTCTTTTCGTACTATATTCAACTTTCAACATTTTATTTTTGAATCATTTCAATATAGAAGTGAAAAATACAACGACAATCACATCAATATTACAACATATGTATGTTTATCAACATTGACGCCTTCTCATATTTTATTTCTTAATCGACAACTTATTCCTGCATATGATTAATATCAACGAAAACTAAAATTAATACATGCGATAATAGAGACAACATTTTTACTTACATTTTCTTACCAAAATCATGATTTATAAGGATCGATTAACACCCCCAAATAATTGGCCACCATTAGTTCGCTACCCAAATTATTATTCTGATCGTGTAAGTACATATTTTATATCATTTGAAATTAACTCACGGTCTAATAAATTTACTCGAGAAATATAACTAATAGTTTTTGCATTAATAAAAGAGAAAATATGTTGAAGCTCTATAGTGAAATTGTATGAAAAACAACGATGAAAGATTAAGATGCAAATAAGATGCATCTTGAAGGTGTTTGCAGAGCAAAAACCTCGAAATGAATTGAATAAAATTAGCATTGTTTTTTCTTCGTCTAGAGGTGTTTAAGAGATTTAATCAATGGAATTGAATATTTCATGTTATTATCGAGTTAGTAAACAATACGATCTCTGTTTACTCCTAATAGATCTTCGAGTTGTTCTATAATTACTTAACATTATTTTATGGATAAAACATATGTCATTTGTAGTTGTCATTTCATTCATTAGATACATTTCTTTTTTTCATTTTTAAAGAGAGAGAGAGAAAAAAACTTGCAGAAGAAAGAGAAGGACCGTTTGCACCTTATTTTTTCAATTTTTTGTTGTTGTTATTTCATATATTTAAAGTGAGTGATTGAAACGGAAATTATTAAAAGAGTATGTATATATATGTCTGCCGCAAACTTTTATTACGACTTTAGATGACTTTAAGGTAAACAACGAGAAGATTATTTGTAAAATAAATATATACAAAAGAAAAACACGTTATTTTTAACAATGATGATGCGAAATGTATTTATGGCAAGAACTATTTCTTAAAATTTATTTATTATCTTTTCTATAATTTAGCGTTTAAGTCTTCTTTGGTTTCTTGCATTCGCTGCTATTTCATTACTTATAAGTGTAATTGCATTAATTATTGTTTTTGCCGTTGAACATTCTTGGTTTCGTGATAATTTTAACGGAAGTTTAACTCAATATGGCCTTTGGCGTGTATGTTTTACAACAAATAATACATGTGCAAGTTGGTTTATGGGTAGTGGAACTTATGCTAACTTGGTTGAACAACGTCTTAATCAATCGAAAGGTAAAATGATGTATATTAAATAATCGTTTTCTATGTTTTTTTCTTCTTCAAGCGGGTATTAATGCATGGCAAGCACTTGAAATTATTTTCCTATTTTTAATCACAGCAACACTGATTATTACTGTTTGCTCTATTATTTGTTATCGAATGCGTAATAATTTTCATTATTATTTGGCAATTTTAGCAGTTTTTTGTGCTTGGCCTGCAGGTAAATAAAATTTTATTCTGGATAACTGAGATGTAATAATAATATTTTCATTTCAGCATGTATTGGTATTGCAGCATTATTCGTCTTTGGTTTTGCTGTATATAATGTTGCAGCACAACCACGTGAACTTGATTGGTGTTTTTATTTAAATTTAGTAGCTGTTATATTTGCAGTTATTGCAGCTATACTTTTATCTATTTATGATTCACTCTTAAAAAAACCATTGAAGTAAGTTTTGATTAATTTTTCATTTTCATATTTTATTTATTATTATTTTTATATAGAACTGTTGATGATGAAGCAGTTATTGAAACATTTGCGGATCTTAATGGCTATCCAGCAACATTAAGTCCATCAACATTTGTTATTGTTCGACGTAATAAAAATAAAAGAAATAAACCATATGACTATTCCCAAACACTTTATCCAAGTCGTTATTTTCCAACACCATCAACAACAACAACAACTGATAGAATAATTCGAAATGATCGTATTCATACAGATCAAACATTAAATCATAACCATCAAATGCTATCACCTTATACATCCATTATTACTACTCATGAAACTAATATGCAACCAACACCATCAACATCATATAGAAATTTTGAATATAATCCTCCTAATATTGCAGTATCACCATCAACAACAACAATTGCACAACAATCGTCTGTTCCAGTTTCAACACAATCTTATCGAAGACCATTAACAGGTTATCCATATCAATCATCTGCATCTCCATCAGATTTTAATCGATTAGGAACACGTATAACCGATCAATCACTTAATTATACTACAGAATTTGGTAATGATTATACTCAACGTAATTTTCTAAATCCAATTCGATCAAATAATATAGATCGAACATTTGAACAAAAACAAGAACCACGTGTATTACATTATTATACTGGCTATGATTATTTCGCTACTCTTGACCCATCGGAAACTGTTGCGACTAGACATCATCCATCAACATCAGGACCTGGTTTAGCAATAAGATATGGTGTCAATCCTTCTTATCAACATCAAAATGACTATATAAAAAGTACTATGTAATACCAATCAATGAAGAATTGAAAAATCCTATATGTATTCAATATTTGATAACAAGTACATAATGAACAGTACTAATATAAATCTTTTTCAATACTTAAAGGAATTATGCAGCTTTTATATTATTCTATTCTATTCTATTTCTTATTTTCTATTCTTTTTTTCCTGCTATTAAATGAGATGCATAAAGATTAAGTTTTTGGGAACAAATGTTTTTTTTATTTAAATGTGCTTATAAGTATTGGCTGTATTATGTTAATTTTATTATAAAAAAATACTGCTATTAAAAAGAAATACTTCCTTTTTCTTATGGTTTTAATAGAATGCAAGAATTGTTTAATATCTTAATTATTGTTACTTTCAGAAATCATAATATTAATTAATAATTTTTCAGAGTGTGATACCCTTAGGAAATTGAAGATTTATTATGTATTTATAAGAGGTAATGCATATATATAAATCGGAATAAGCGAAAGTACTCGATATATGTAGTAGCGACTAATTATGTCAGTTCATTCTCTATTGTATATAAGCCATGTATTATTTGCATTGCCTGAATTGAAGTTAATGCGATATGTAATATGAATACGCATAATCGAGAATCTAATCTTTTACATAATACATATCTCGTGTGAAATTTATAAATCCTATCATGATGTAAGCATTACTAATATGTTTTACAAAGCTTCATCATACACATATGTCCTTATCAATAATAATCTGAACTAATTCAGATGATAATAATGAACAACAGACCAATTATTACAAATGTGATAATCAAGTCTTTTTTTTGCGAAAACAATATCATATTACACTGATTAATTCATTATCATACTTCAATATATTTATCTCTAAGGTTTAATACAGAGATTATCTTTTCATTAAATAGTACGACATTCCGCTGTCTAATCTATATCGATCAGTGCGAATTTCTATTGTCCCATATGTAATCTATAATTCAATGCACTTAGATTTGTCCTTGTTTTTATTTATCATGAAATATTCTATATAACATCATCAATCTCATGAACAATTTATACAAACAACATAAAATTAAAAAAAACACAAAAATACACACATATGTTCTCAATCAGCTTGATTAGAAATAAATTATTATATCACATTTTTTTCTTCTTGTTCAACAGAAAGACATTTGATAAAAGCATAATTGATATAATTATCCTTCTAATAATTTTCGTTTAATTTCATCGAAATCAGATTGCAATGACATGGTTAATTTTCTTAATTCATTATGAACACGTGCATTCGCTTTTTCAAAAACATCACGTAATTCATCTGTTTTACGCATTAAACGTGTATGATCATTTTCTTGTAATAATGGTTCACCAGCACGATCAATATGATGTCGATAATATCCAATTTCACATGTAACAAATTCTCTTATTGAATGATGTTTCGAACTTCGACTTGATTGTATATTACTTTGAAGTTGATTATTACTATTACGATATGGTAAGACAATCGTTGATTGTGGTAAATCAACACGTGGTGTACGTAATTCTAATTTCCATAGATAATATTTTTTTATTCCATGTATTTGTGTCACACGATTTTGAAAACGTGGAAAAAATGAACGTTTTGATAATGCGAGGACTAATCGAGAACATGTTTCACAGAGAAGTCCAAATTTTGCTTGTAAACCAAGACATGTTTCAATTCTTGCACGTAAATGTTCACGTTTAGCATTTAAACGAAACCGTTTTACATCGGAAACTGCAAGACCAACCTAAATAAAATTACAAAAATATTATTTATTTTCAATTATATGATCATCATACCATAATATTCATAATAACAATATTCATCGTGAATACAAAAGTTGAATAAAGTACCATGGCTGCTTCACTTCCTTGTAAAACTTTACCATTAGGAAAAAATAAATCATCAAAATCATATTCGCCTGTAAGCATAGCTAATGTTTTTGGTATTGAATAAAAAACAGATGTAAATTGCGGTTTTTTATTTACAAATAACATATGAAATGCAATAATATATCCAATCCAAATAAAAACATAAATAAGACAAAATTTTAAAAATGTTAAAAATACACTAACAAATAGAAGACCATATTTGCCAATTTTTAATGCATTCATAAATACAAGTAATAATAATGTCCATACGCTAGCCATGCCTAATGCACCAGCTTCCCATTGCCATTTACATCGAAGACCAGTACGTTGTGTACATTGATTAAGATCCATTGCAAATAAAATTGCACAAACATATGTATGTAATTCGAGAAAATTAACAAAAAAACCACGAAAATATTTTTCACGTTGTGTTAATAGTTGTATAAATTCTTTTAATAATGCAATACCAGAACAAAGTAATAATAAAGCACGTAAAAATCCTTAATTTATAAATACAGAAATTAAAAATTGTTTTGTTATTCTAAACTTACGAAGTAAAACATTTCCTGGAAGAGGATCAATTGGATCTAATGTTAAACCTTCACATAATTGTTTACAAGTTATATTTGCTGCATCATAATACGAACGTGGTGGTGTTGGTGAACTAAGTGCAACTCCTGTGTATAGACAAACGAAGAATACTTGTGCACATAATATAAGAAGATATAAAAAATTTCCAAATAATTGAAATTTTAAATCCACACACATTTTAACAATATCATGATCATAAACTGGAGCATGATTAGCTTCAGCTATTAATGATAATGGATGTTGTTTAAGCCAATTTGACGTTGAAAATCTTTTTGAACGACCAAATATACAACGATGTGGTGAAGGACGTGCTCGTAAACAATCATCAACAACTGATAAATCTATTCCATCTTCACCAACAAATTGTTCAAGTAATAAGGGAACTAATGGAACCATTTCCGTCTAATAAAAAAAAGAAGAAATTCAATCATGCTTCTATAATCAAATTGTATAAGAAGAAAGATATGATCTTTGATTAATAACCTATCGTTACTGATAGTAAATTCCAAGAAACTAGCATTTTACATTCCTAAATGGCTTCATGATTACAATATAAATACTATTTGTACCAGACGACCGCATCGAAACTATATAATTTGATGATTTATGTAAATAAGTTTTTATAAGTCTTTTCCACTTATAAAAACGAGAAAAGTAAAAATAAATTATTCATTTTTCTTTCTGTCATATTGCACAACATTCCTTACTTGTATATATTTTTTTCTTTATTATTAGAACTTACCATGGTTAACATTCGTTGTACAGGTGTTTGATCATAACTTGAACCCGAATAAGCCACATTATAATGTCTTAAGAAATTTTTATAGGATCGATAAAGTTCTCGTTCATCACCTGGAATTCTTACACTAATAAATGTTCGAACAAAATCCGATTTTTTTAATGCTATTGCATATTCAAGTACATTATATGCTCGTCCATTAACATCAATTTGTATTTGAATAATAGCAGCAAAACGTCGTGTATCCGAAACAAAAAATGATGCGATATCTAACTGATCTTTATCAATTGTTGTTTTTAATGAATCAGAATTTATAAAATCAGCTATTTCAACATTTCGATGTAACCATTTACTACTTAATATGTATTTAATACATTTTAATGAACCTTTTTCAATCGCAATAACAAATGGTGTTTTACCATTAGAATTTCTTTCAACAAGTCGTTGAAGAGCCTAAATATTTTTATATAATAATTAAAAAGAAACAATTTAAATTAATTTACATACCGTAACTCTTGCAGCACTTGAACTAAGTCGTTTAAGTAATGAAATAGCTCGACTTAAAACAATATCATTACGTTGTTCAGTAGCATAATGAAATACACTCGAACCAATATGATCTTTACATGTTAATGATAATGGATCTTGTTCCATTAATAATGTTGCTGTTGATGTTGCACCAGCTTCAATAGCACAAAGTAATGGAGTTTGTCCACGTGCATTTAATAACATATTAGCATGAGATGTTTCACTTATTAACATTCTCATGATTTCTTCATGTCCAAGTTTTGCAGCTAAATGAAGTAATGTTTGACCTTGTGTATCACCTGTATCTAAACTTCCTTCTTGTTTTATTGATGTTGTTGTTGTTGTATGATCTGTAGCATTTGTTGCTGATTGTCCACCAGCTAGTTCAGCAATTGGTGCTGAAACAACAGCTGATATAGTTGAATTTCCAGTTTGTACTACACCTTCTTGAATTTTTGCAAGTCTTTCATGAAATAATTTTTGTTGTTGTCGATTTCGAATAAATGTTGGACGACGACCAAAATGTCGATCTTCATCATCCCAATCAAGTAAACTATCAATGATTTGTTGTGGTGGACTTATACGAACAGCTGGAATTACTTTTATAACTGATAATTTATTTTCACTTGACGATGTTATTTGTTCATTTAGTGGAGTGCTTGGTACTGATTGTGAATTTTTTCCCTCTTGAGGTGATCTATCACTGTTTGTTTCTGTTAATGATTTATGTGGTCGAGATTGTTTTGGTGGAATGATAAAGATTTGTGTTGGCATTAGAACCTGTCAAGTTAAAAAACAATTATTCTCTAGAGTATAGCTATATTTAGATAAAACTAAACTGTCAATTATATATTGAACTACTTTTTAGATAATCGAAATTAAGTTAAAAAAGATACTACAATCGATATATTTATATTTGTAATATGATAGTTAATACAATACAATTAACATAAATGTAACAGTTCGATGATTTCTATTTTCTTACTATTCATCATCATATGTTTATCTTTAGGAAATACATATCAAGATGTAAAAACCAAGTATGTAAGAAAGAAAGAAACGAGAACAACATCTGGATTACTTTTGTTTAATTACTTCTATTTATCTATCACGCAAGCTTTGTTAACTTATGATTCATCGAGTTGTAAAAACTATAGTTTGATATAAATAAAAAATACTTACGCCACGTGTTACTGTAGATTTTTGTTGATGGCTCATAATATGTTATTTTTAACTAATTTGTTTTGTTCTATATATAGGAAAATAATATTAATCAATATGCATCACACACATATTGATTATCGGAAAAGACATCAGGGATATAGAAAACATTCTCAATAATAGAATAAAAACTTATTGAATGATCATATAAACATAAGTTGCATTGAATAACTGATTTCTTTCGTCTTTTTATTTTTCTTACTGTTATTTTTTTACTTCAATAGAGAGAGAGAGAGTAGTAGTAGGAGAGACATAGTGAAAAAGAAAAAGAAATAAATGGCATTTTATATACTATATGAAGAAGGCAAAAGAAAGAATAAGAAGAAAAAAAAGGCATTTTTCTCTCTCTCCCATTCTCACTCATCGACCCTTTTTCTGCCTTATCCAATTGTCCCTCTCTCTCGTAGTAGACTCTCTTATTAAGACAAGTAACTAAAAAAAACATACAGACATATATATCTGTGTTCTGTCCGTTGTTTTAATTCAATCTAATCTTCTCTTTACATTGATAAGAATCATGCTTAACTCATTTGCTTTCATGCACCTTTTCTTTTTCTATGTTGTTTTTTTTGTTCGTCTATATACATATTGACTGAGAATCTTTTCAATTGACTGGGTAAGAATAAAATTACTATTCTGGCATTTATCGAAATACATAATTTTCTTATTGTCACATATTTATTTGATAATAACCAGAGAAATATCTTAAATTATTTATTTTTTCGTTTATAAACTCACTTGAGACTATATTATTAATTTATTCATCAAAAGAATACACTTATATGTCTGCATAATCTTCTTTCAAATGACATATAAACTATACCGATGCGAACTCATAATGAATGTATATATCTCTATATAACAGTTGTGCTTATTATCGTAATGATCAATTCTTTTTTGGTTTTAATATGTTCAATTTGTTGTTTGATATCATTCGGAAAAAAAACAAAGGATATTTTGAAATAAATATATATCTAACAAAACAAGAAATAAAAAAAATGGAGAACATAAAAATTAAATATTAGCCATCGTATCCGAATGTCGTTGAATACGATGTGATTTTCGTCGTTCATTGAAATTCTCATTGATAGTATTTGGATTATTTTCACGAACACTTAATGATCGTTGTAGTTGATTAGTTGGTTTTTCAGCAATCATTGGCATTGCTTCATGTTTATTGATTTGATTATTATTACTAATCGTAGTAGTAGTAGTCTGTGCTTGTCGTGTAGGCCAAAGCATTGCTTGAATTTGTTGTAAAGTTGTTCGATGGTGTCGACTTTGTACAGTATCAATGGTTTGACGACGTCGAAGTTTTTTATTTTTTATTGATGACCGAGGAGAATTAAGTGGCATTGAATTTTCACGTTCATTATCATCATTCGAATCATGCTTGTCATCATCATCATCATCATCATCAACATTGTTCTGTATATGAGAGAGATTTTTAATGTATAAAAATATTTAGAATATATTTTTGTTAGTCAGCATAAAATGAGAATATTAATCATGTTTTTGTTAATTAAAAATAGCGATTAATTGAATCATGCTACATGCAGCTGATAATTATTGTATACGCATTATAATTTCCTTAACCACTGACACCAAAAAAACATATCCACTTACAATTTCATTTAGATATATTTACAACTTCATTTCTTTCTAAAATTAGAAATTCTCGATATTTACTATATATATGTATATATATACGTTCTTTCTTCTTTCCTAATGATTCATATGTTTATTTACTTTTTATTAAACGATCACTTATCGTTAATATATTTAAGATCATGTTGAAAAAAGTACTGATTATTCAGCATTCAATCGGTGTTCGTCCTGCTCATGTAATACTATTCTTCATAGAAAATAATATTCCATATGAAATTCTTCCTATTTTTGATCCTGATTATCAAGGACATTTTCCTGATAATAATACAACGGATTATTCAGTTATTGTTAGTCTCGGTGGACCACAAGGTACATATGAAGATGATAAATATCCTTATTTAAAATGGGAAAAATCTTTTCTTACAACTCAACTGTCTCTTAATACACCTATTCTCGGTATATGTCTTGGAGCACAATTAATCGCTGATTGTATTGGTGGACATGGTGATTTGGGTAAATATGGTTATGAAGTTGGTTATGTTCAATATGAACTTACAAGTGAAGGAAGAAATGACCCAATTTTATCAAAAGTATTTGATGAACAACGTAATAAGCCATTGTTAATTATGCATCATCAAGATTCATTCGATTTACCATCAAATGCATCTATTTTAGCTTATACAACAAATAAATATACAGCTGCTTTTCGAATTGGTTCTGCATACTGTGTACAATTTCATCCCGAAGCATCATTTAAAGAATTCAATGAATGGGTACAGCGAACACGTCAAAATAGACCAGAAGCATATAAAAATCTCGATATAGATGAAATTTTACACCAAGCACAAGAATTTGAAATAGAAGCTTATAAATCCCGGCAATTATTTTTTGAAACATGGTGGGATACAATTCCAAAGCAATAATTCTATGCAACGTATTAACATAATAAAATGATTTTATTATTGAAGAGATTTGTTTTTTTTTTGCTTCTTTACTTAATTTTATTATTTGAATGATCAATCACACTATCTTAAGTAGTTCTATTTCACACTGTCACTTCTATTAACTATATATTTACGCATATTTTTATATTTACTGTTGTAAGCTAGCATAACTAATTAACGCACAGATTGTCAGTTTTTGTTTTTCTAAACTTCGAATGCCATTGTATGATGGACAAAAACACATAGATGTAAAGAGCATGTTAAAAGACCGAAAATGTCATTTTAAATAATAAAATCGACCGTATCGAACCTCGATTTCTTCTCTTTCCCAGATCTTGTTATTTTTATTATATATTAACAGTCATAAGTATTTTGATGACTAGAATAATTGTGATAATTTACGTACAAACAATGCATATAGAAAACAAATACTATATATAGATAGATATATATGAGAACACAAGAGGACAGTGAGCAAACAAATCAATCGATAGCATACAGCGAATGAGGATATGTGCCAATCAATAGAACACATATGATTAAAAAGTGCTGTTACTTACTAAACTGATTGCATCTGAAGGCATTGCTAGTTCATCAATTGCAGTTGTTGCTGTCGGTGAATTGACACGTCTCGTAGCTCCCTGCTGTTGTTCACTTCTTGATGTAGATGAATGTTGTCGGTCACTCTTTCCCCATCTTAATCGATTGACATTTTTAAAAATATTCTTCGATTTCTTTGATAAACTTCCATTTGATATTCCACCAACTGCTAAATTACTACTACTTAATCCATTATTATTATTTCCACTAGTCATTCCACTTGTTGAATGACTTACAGCATCTTCTATTTGTTGTTGATCAAAACTATTCATTCGACGTGATATAGGTCGATGTTTATTTGTATCACTTAATGCTCTTGGTAATTTTCTTTTAGCTTTCGATATAATATTATTTCGTATATTAATACAACGAACATATTCATCACCAGTAGCATGAAGTATTGGTATACTACCAATTGATGCAAAATTTGTAATTGTATCACCATAACAAGCTAATTGAGTAAAATCACTTTGTTCATTAATAACATTGAGTTGTTGAGAAACAGGATCGATAATAACATGTATAATTTCTCTCCAAGCAATATGTGGTTGCCAATCTGGATTAGTTGAATTTTGATAGGTTTTATACATCGTTGTTTTCATATTTGTCATTAATTGATCGAACACATTCGCTAGATTTCTTACTACACAATAAGTTAAGATATTATGTCGAATATCACTTGGTTTTGTTCGACATGAATCATAATAAATTAATGCATGATTTTTTATTAAATAATCAAGTTCAATTTTTGCATTACGTCGTACACAACAAGCAAATGCATGAACAAATATACGTTGTATTGTAGCAGAATTTTCTTCAATAAATGGATCACCTTCAACTTGATAATAACGACTTAATGTTGTACATAATGCTAAAAATGTTGTACAATTATTTTTTATTTGTAAAACACCATCAAAACAATGTTCTAAATGTCGTTCAGCAACTGTACCCCAACAATGTAGATGTCGTCGTTTAAAAAATGAATCAAATATTATATCCATCATAACAGTTGAATCAGTCATACATGAAACATAAAATGGTGTTTGATAAAAATTTGCAAAAGCATCTGATAATGGATCACCAAATGATTCAAAAAAATTATAATCAACTTGTAAATATAATGATTGACCTGTTTCCGAACTTAAATGATATTTGACAGTTACTTCCCATGTTACATCACTACGTTTACGTGATGATATAACATCACCATCAGGATATAATATTGTTGGACGACAACCAAGTGCATTTTCTAATTCAGAAAAATGATTTTCAATATTTTCACGTAATAAATGAAAATCCCAACGTGGATATTGAAGAAATATATCACGTAAAACTAAAACGGTTAAAAAACAACGAACACTTATAGGTGTTTCTGTTTGATGACCATCATCGGATCCAACTGATTCATCATTTTTCGATGTATTTAAAGTTACAGATGAACCAGATAATGCACCTGAAACTGGTTTAACATCTTGATTAACAATAAAACCATCGAATTGATAACATACAAATGCTGATGGTCCTTCTGTTTCAGTTTCACGATATACTTGTACATGTTGAAATGATGCATAATCTTTTCTATGCATATATTGAAGTACACGATGTAATATACAATCATGATTAAGTCCATCAAATTCAACAAGATTAGATTCAAGTAATATTCTAACAATCTCTTCATAATCAGCTTTATCACCACATGTTGCAACACATGCAAGAATAAGTGGTGATGGTATAAGCATATGTTTTGTATCATAGCCATGTATAACTTTATCAATAAATTCTTCACGTTGTATTAATGGTAATGAACTTAATTCAAGTTCATCCGCATCTGGAATGTCATTATCATTTGCAATATTTGTTGAAATTCCATTACTATGATGATCATCCGTTCCATTATTTGTTGCTAATGATGGTTGATCTTTTGCTGTTTGTAAATCAATATGTGATCGAAATTTTTGTTGAAGATATTGTTGTCTTAACATTATATTATGACTATCAAGTGAAAGTGATGGTTCTAATGTAGTTGCTGTATGTTTACGTTGTCTTGTTTGATGTGTTTCACGTTCAACACCACATGCTTTAAGAATATATGTATGTGGATTATATTCAAATTCTCGTGTTTTAAATAAAGGAATTAATAATGATAAACTATCAAATTGTATAGTTGATGTCGGTGATGTTAATGTATCACATATTATTTTAACCTATAAAAAAACGAGAAATAGAAAATAATCTTTTATTTATAAATATATATATACTGTTTCTTTATCTCCAACATAAGAAGCATAATGTAATGGTAACCATCCACGTTCTGTAACTGAACTCATCGATTTTTCTAACCAATTAACATTATTTTCAAAAATTTTATTTAATAAACTTGTTTTTTTATGTGCGATAGCAAAATGTATTAAATCACAATTATCATATCGTTGTAATTTTATAATTGCTGATTGTAATATACTATATATTTTGGTATTTTCATTTAAGATTGGTTTATCTATTTGTTCCATATATATATATGTATGTAATGCTGTATAGGATTTGAATAAACCATGAACTGGAGAATGAAGATATTGTTGTTCTAATTGAACACTATCTTCAAGTAATGCTGTTATTGTTGGTGATGCATCAAGAAGATGTTCAAGTGCAGTTAGAATACGTTGACGAACATTATCATTATCGATTGTTAAATGTTTTGCTGTAATAAGTTTCTTTTTAATTCTATGATACCAACGCCACAATGGATAACGATCTCGTGGATAACCATAAGAATCATATAATAAAAATAATAAAAAATGAATATTATTAAAATGATCAGGTTTTCTTATAACACCATTTTGAAGTTCATGAAGAAGATCAATTAAAACTCCATATTCAAGTTCTTCTAATGGTAATTCTTGAGTACCGATTGATGTCATTGGAGTTGATACACGATCTAAATCAAATAAATAATTCGTTCAAATCATTTATAATGACCTTTTGAAAAAAAACAGTTCTAATTAACTACTTATGTTCTTTCTCAAGAAAGAAGGAGAGATATTAAACAGACTTTCTATTCTCGTGTGTGTTTATATCTTATAGCTAAATAATTCTATGATTATTATGACAATCAAATGATTTGATTAAGTCTAAGAAACTGGAATTATTTCTTTCGCGTCTGTTTATTCATGATTAGAATGATAAATGCATGAATGTATTAAGTTAATGATGATTGACACCAAATATAAACTAACAAAAAAAATATCAAGATTCTTTTTACAATAAAAATAAAAAAAGTGTCATATCAAATTTTTTTTTTCAGTAATAAAATCATATGGAAATTATTTTAATAGAAAGATAAATACTTACATGGTGATAAATAATCTTTACTTAGATCTTCAGCAGACATATGTAAACGTGTTGTAGTCATTTTATAGTTGAATAATTCAAAAAGAAATAAACCAATATTGATAGAACAGATTCGTTGCGGGTTATAATGTCCTTTACTAGTTACTCCATGTTATTATTGTGAATATTAAGAACATGCGACAGTCTTTACTGGATCGACCTCACAATACTACTCCTCATCTTCTTTTTCTTTCTATGGTTCGTATGCTTATTTTTTCTTTCTTTTCTTTCTTTCCTCCATTTCACACTCATCTCTATTTCTTTTTTTTGTGCTTTTGTATATATGCTCGTTGAGAAGTTTCATGCATCACATGAAACTCTTTTCTTTCTTTCTTTCTTTCTTTCTTTCTTTTCCTTTCTTTTTTTTTCACTATTCATGAAATACTTTATGTTTATTATGTCACGTACTCTATCTACACGACGGTTTCTGAAGTGATTACATGTGTTTCAATTTATAGTCTTCTATTTTTTTCTGCTAAGCTAAAAATAGATTTTTAATAAGTTTCTTTACATGCGAAGCTCATATAGACAGGACGTCCGATCAAATATATCGTTTTATTAATTCTCTCGTTCTACTCATTGAACTTGTTTAGTCTTCGGTAGTGATACATTTTTTGTTGCTTCAATTTAACTCCTCTCTACACTGCTATTGATATTTTCTATATTGTTTTTGTTTGTCACGTATATATGCATCGATCATACTGGGAAAGACAAATATTAATTGACAGTTGCTTATAACAAATAGCGATGGAAAAGATATAACGATGATTTTCTAAATATTTTTATTATACATAAGGGATAACACATTGCTATTCTTATTAATAATATGCGTATCCAATAGCTTCAGACAAAAAAAAACAAAAGAGAAAAACTATTTCTTGTTAACATATTTCATTATTAATGAAAAACAAAATAATAATAAGCAGCATGTTTTGGGATAAAATATACATACATTAAAATTCATGTACTTGTATTTTGATCACGTCGAACGGACATATATTTCTATCGAAAACATTATTGCACCTTTCTGAGTATATTGTAATGACTATATTTCGACAATGTATCAAAAAGAAAAAAATACGAAAAAAAAAGAAAATCAGAGAAAGAAAAAATATTATTCATATGTACATCTATTGAAATGTAATCATGTGATATTCTTTACCTAATTCACATGCAACCATCCGTGTAAATGTAAAAATGTAAAGCATAACATGACGTAAGAAAAAAAAGAAACGTTTTATTTTGTGTCTCAAAAAATCACAGAGCAAACTAGGAAAATTCACATTTTTTTATTCCATGCTTTAATAACTACGTAATAGAAAAATTGTCATTACTGCCAAAATTAACGGTTATTACAATTACGTACCAATACTGTTTTCTTAATTGCTTATTACTATGCTAAAGATAATAATGATATGCATGCATTATAAATTAACAGCGAAAATGTTGAATAAAACTGTTTTTTGATGCATAGCAAATATAGCATGTCATGTTTTTCGTATTTTCTTATCAGTGGCAGATATTTTAATACTTTTTCTAAATATCAGCTGAGTGAGTTTTTTTACTTACGTCTTCGAATGTTTTTAGTTAATAGATTTATCGACGATTCAGAGAAAAAAAAGCATGATACTCAAATATGCAAAACAGTATAATCAGTTTTTTTTCGTCACTACTCATTCTTAAGAATATTATTAACATGCTAAACAAGTACTTATTATTATTTTATTATTCTACTTATTTATTCCATAAAATATAAAAAAACAAATTATAATAATTTTACAACGACTTTTCCAAATCCACCTTTGCCTTGTTTTAGTTTTTCAAGTGCATCTTGTACATCCTCGAGTTTAATTGTTTGATTAATATAAGGTTTAAGTTTTCCTTCTTCTATCCATTTAGCACCTTGTGCCAATGCATCTTGAACGAATGTTCTCAATTCTGCTCGTTTAGGTCCTAACCAATAACTTGCTAAATAAGCATGAAGTAGATTTGCTTTTCGTTCGGCAACACTTTTAGCTTCTTTACTATCTTCTTTTGCAAAAGCGCCAAGAACAATCCATGAACCACCTTCTTTAACTGTTTGAATTGATTTTGCAAAACTTGATTCAAGACATGTAGAATCATAAACGATATCAGCACCTTGACCATGAGTGAGTTCAAGTACACGTTCAACAACATTGTCTTTTGCATGATTGATAACATCTTTAAGTTTATATTGTTCTTTGAGAATTTGAATTCCATCATCTTTCGATGCTGAGGTAATGACTTGTTTAGCACCACGTGCTTGAGCTATTTGAACTGCAAAATGGCCAACACCACCTGAACCACCAGGAATAAAAACTGATGTTGATGAATCAATATTAACTTGTCGAAGTCCATCCTATAGATAATAGAAATGATTAGTACATATTGAACAGTTAACATACCATAGCAGACAAAAATGCAACACCAAGTGTCGATGCATCTGCATGACTAATATTTCTTGTTTTTTTTATAAATGCTTCAGCTTCTCCAACAGAATATTGTTGTAATGCTCCTCCACCATTACTTGAGTTTAAATTTAAAAGTCCAAAAACTTCATCACCAATGTTGAAATGTTTTACATCTTTTCCAACAGCAACTATTCGACCACTAACATCATAACCAGTCGTCGCTGGTAATGTTGTATTACCAAAATTTGTTCCTGCCATTTTATAATCAACCGGATTAAGAGAAATAGCATGATTTTCAATTAAAACTTGATTATCACCTAATTGAGATGGTTGAATGACAGGTGCTGATGTTGTCCATTCAAATGGATTTTCAGTACTAACTCGAACCCATTGTAATGCTTTTTGTTTAGTTGGAATATTTTGTTGAACAGATGCCATATTATATGTTTAAAGATTGAGTTTTTTTGTCCAATGTGTGCATTATTTATATTTATTTATAAAATATGTTAAGTAAAGATGACGATGCAAAACACAACGATAAATCATATCAACAAATGGCAATAGAATGAATGCAGTAAGCATGACTATGCAAAATATAACGATGAATCATAAAAACATATGACTACACAATTTTCTTAACAATGTACTTTTAGAAAACATTCAGAAGGAATGAACAAAAATTCATATGATGAACAATCAATAAACTAAGGTACATTTCTCTGCTAAATTAATTATTTATCGATCGTTGTCGACGAGTCGAATGCTTTGATTAACTTAATCTATTGAAAAGCTTCTTGTTCGAAAGCTTGAAGTAGAACTGTCACGATTCTGTCAAAACCGCCAAGATTCTAATCCTTGTCCGTGTAATTCATATAATATATTCCATAAATTCTGTATATAAACTATAATCAATGCTTGTTTTGATTATTAATTCAGATATTTTCTACTTCTGAATTATACAGATTAGAATACACTGATGCATCTTATTAAATAATCGTCAATTAGTAGCAATTATCCATGCTTTTATTTATGTCAATTTTTATCAAATTCTAGCATGAGTATTCTTCGATAATGATATATATATATATCCTTTAGCAATTTCAACAAGATTTTAAAACATATTGTCAAGGTTAAATTAAACTAGATGTCACTAATTTATGGATTACTTCGATACGCTATCTTCCCAATCCTTCACTCTATCGATTGGTACATTGTCAAATTAAAATATATGTTCTGTCGAATAAAATAAAATTTTTGTTATAAAATATCTTATATCATATCCAACAATTAATTCGTCAAATATATATATAGTTACTTTGACCTAGTCTTTCACTAGATAAGGAAAGGTACGAGACAATGAATTTGTTCTCAAAGTCACCTAATTTTGTTCGGCAACTATTTTGTACAATATCTATACAACGATTGGAAACAATCAATCATCATATTCGTTTCAGTTCACAATCTGTATGATAAATATCTTCTAAATTAAAATAATAGATCTTTCACTCGATTTTGTTATTTTATAGAGCAAAACAATTGATAATAATAAACAGCAATCAGAATATCGTTTCACTTTACCAAATGGAAATTTATCAAATGAACAACGACAATTCTATGAGAAAAATGGTTTTCTTCTTATTCGTAATTTAGTTAAACCCGAATCGCTTGATCATTTTCGGTAGAAATATTTCATTTGTATAAAGAATTTTATTTCTTACATATTATTTTTCTATTTAGTAAACGTTTTCAAGATGTATGTTTAGGAAAAGTAAAAGTATTAGGTATGACAGTTATGAAAGATGTTGCAATAGCTAAATCTGAATTTGCTGATGGTGAAAAAGCAATAACAAAAATTCAAGATTTCACATTAGATGATGAACTTTTTAAATATTGTTGTTTACCTGAAATTGTTAAATATGTAGAAAATTTTACTGGTCCAAATATAATGGCTATGCATACAATGGTAATGAAAACAAAACAAAAATATTTTTTGTATGACGTATTCTTTAGTTAATTAATAAACCACCTGATCCAGGTACTCAATCATCTCGACATCCACTTCATCAAGATCTTTATTATTTTCCATTTCGACCTGTTGATCGTATTGTTTGTGCATGGACAGCTATGGAAAAAATTAATCGTCAAAATGGATGTCTTGTTGTTTTACCTGGATCACATACTGGTGAACTTAAAGAACATGGTTATCCTGATTGGAAAGTAAGTAAATAAAGAATTTAGTTTAGAATAAAAAGATTTCTATCTTTTATTATATTTTATTTAGGGTGGAGTAAATAAAATGTATCATGGAATACAACAATTTGATCCAGATACAAAAAGAGCACATTTAGAAATGGAAACAGGTAAGATTATACAATTGTTTATTTGATAATTGAGTTCATTTTTTCTATTAGGTGATACTGTTTTTTTTCATCCATTACTTATTCATGGTAGTGGAACGAATAGATCACCTGGATTTCGAAAAGTAAGTGATTAAATTCATGTATTGCTTTTTTTCTTCTTTTTATCTATTTAGGCTATTTCATGTCATTATGCTGATTCAGCCTGTGAATATATTGAAGTTGAAAATAGTGTACAAGATTATATTTCTAAAGAAATCACAGCGATTTTTCGAAAAAAAACAGGCATTGAAAATGCACGTTTCGAAGTAATTTTTTAGTTGAAAATTTTTGTAAGAAAAAATTTATTTCTGATATCATAGGATGTTTGGAAAATTAAAAGTCGACTTGTACAAGGTGAACGAATCAATTTATAGACGAAGATACAAAAGATAACAACCTCAATTCTATTTCTTTTTTTTTATTATAATTAGTCTTTCATTCTAAACTTTCATAAAGCTAAATAAAAAAAATAATTTATATTACATGTATTAAAATCTTAGCCAATAGCAAATAATCGATGAGTCATATATAATTTCTTTCTTTCTGTTCTTCTTTCCTTCGTTGTTTTAGTCTACTGTGCAATTTGTGCAGCTTATATGAATATATAATGTTGAGGAAGACGAGACAAAAAGCATACTTACCTGCCACGGAAGCATTCACGATCATGAATGCGAATGCTCCAGGTCGAGGCGCGGGCATTGCACATCGCCCCCGTTGACGCCTGCGAAAAGTCCACATCGGGCTTTCTCGAGTGGATAATTTGTTCCGCGGTCATTTGCGTTCGCGCATTGGCCATTCTAAAAAATTAAAATGAAAAAAAAACATCTTCTTTTATACACTTTGTTTTTTTGATAGACGAATAATAAGTTTATTATATTATCAAGGTATTTATCGAAATAAAAATAAAGTATCGTCTTTATCTATATTTCTTCTAGTACAACTATTTTTTTTATCATGTTTTATCAATTTACTTGTAATATTGGTATTACAAGGATCTATTATTTTCGATCATATCGTTGATTTGTTTGTGTAGTGAATGATGAATTTGTATGATATAAAAAAAACGATCTTTGATGTAATATAATACAATAAAAATTTACACAGTATCCAACTAAGTTCTTTCTATTGGTTTCATCAATATACTACCAACTTCATTAAAAAATTGTGTGTTTTGTAAAACTAAATATATGGATATTAGCATTAGTTGTGCATTTCAAAATCTTGTTTATGTGTACATGACGCACTGAAAGGAAAAGGATGACTACTTTATCAGTAACAGTAATTTAATTAATACAAAATATTCATGAAAAACAGCTAACTGATCATCCATTACCAGTAAAACGTTTTATGACAATTATTTTAGTTGGAAATAGATCCGATCTTGGACATAAACGAATTGTCACAAAATAAAATAAGTTTAGAATTTTTTTTTACTATTTTTCAAACTGCTCGTCATGCAGCTTTTTAACATCATTGTAGATTTGTTGGAACATTAAAATAAATACATATAAGTGAACAAAACATTTTAAAGAACGATGACGTTTAACTATAACGAATGGTGCAATTTATGATACGGATAGATTATCTGAAATTCTAAAAATGGTTTTTTCGCAAAAAAACTATCAAGATTACCGGATGATATGAAAAATCAATATTAGGTTTTTTACATTACCAATCGATGAATTTATATTTATTTATATATATATTTTAATACACAAAATAATCAGAAGCAGCAGCACATAGAGAAAGAACGCAAAATTCGAGTTATAGTCGAGATTTTCAGATGCTAATTCAAGTGGTAAAAATAGAAAAAATAAGTTTTTATATTTGTTACATTTAGTCAATAATTATATTTCGATTGTAAATTAATTTATCCGATAAAACTAATTATAAAATAGAACATAAGACAATTGATATCGAAATAACGAGATTATGATAGTTTTATCGGATTTGAGTGACCGTATAGATCTTTACAAGTATAAATTTATAAAATATTAGCTTCATCTACACCATCACCTATAATAGTAAATAAATAAAAATATATTAAACGAAAAAATGATATAATTTCATCTATGATTACAATCAACTCATTTATTAAAGTATCAGTTTTTATGTGTTCCAATTTTCTGAATATTTTGTGTATTGAAATATTTATCAATAAATATAGATTCATCGATTGTTAATGTGAAAAACATAATATTAATTTTTTTATGATTCCGACATATATATATATATAAACCAAAAGCAAAAGAAATAAATGTAATTTTTATTTATCTGTATTGTTTTATGCGTTGCGTAAAAAAATACATTAAAAGGTTATTCTACTGTCAAATAAATAATTATACATGTTTAAAATTTTCTTAACTTATAGAAGAAAATTATGATTGAATAAAAGAATTTGTCTTTTATATATTTTGTTCTTTCATTTGACCTGAATACTTGATTGATTCTTTTCGATAGTTAGAAATAGATCAGGATCATATTATACGTTGTAGTAACTACGAATATAAAAATAATGATGACAAGTGTTTGCCAGAGGAAATTTCCTTGATTGATCTTTTTTTCAGCTAAATGATACACAAATTAATAAATTACTTCTAATAGATCGAACATTTCATTAGAATTGTGCACTAAAAATCAGAGTTTTTTTTAACTGAACATATCGACAGTTTGTATAAATATTTGTGAAGCTCTCTTCGTTGATCATTTTGTTGAAAAAAGTTTAAATTCTATGAAAAAATGTTAATATTAATACAAATAAAATAAATATGCGTCATTTAATCCTTACATTCTGAGTTATCGATCAAATTTATAATTTTTTTTCAAAAATGCTCAAAAAAACGAGTTCTTTAAAATCTGAAGGACAAAAGTATTTTTTTCAATTGGATATGCATGAAAATATTGAGATTTGAATTGAGAGTGAATAAAATCGCCGATTTTTGAGCGATTTTACTACACATACACAGATTAAACCACGAAATTAGTTTTTTTATTATTGCTGTTTGTAAATATAAATTGTGTGTATTAGAAGCACGTGTGATATTATAAAAACGATAAAACGAAGGACGTACAAAGAATGAAGAAAAAAGTATGAGAGAACGAAAAGAATAGGCAATAAATGTAACACGTGTTTGAGTAAATCGATTGTGTATAGATTATTCGAGTATATACTGCATCATCAATCGATAACCGCAAATACTGTTTTTATAACAACATTCTACAAATAATTTTTTCAATAGCATCATAAATTCATTTCAAACTTGATATAGATTTAAAGAATCACTTATTTTATTTTATTCAATAAAAAAGTCTTGATTGATCGTAGTATTTTATTTAAATTAGTCTTTTTGTAGCAATATTTAAAAAATCTAATCATTGTATTATAGTGAGTAATTTTGAATGCATTTTCAGACAATAAAAATTAATTCAAATTTTTTGTAAGAATATAAAAATTGAAATAGTATATATAAATTTTCACAACATAGGGATATTAAGATATAGTATTTTGTTTGATCATAGAGCTTCCAACTAATGACATCGTCTTCTCATATGTTTCAACGGCTTAGATAAAGTATACATGAACTAGTAAGAATATTGTAATAGACAAGCACTATTATTAAGTGTTTAGTCTCTATTTTAAAGTAGTGTTCATCTGACAGCATATATATTCCTGGCGGATAGGATTCTCTCCAGTATACAAAAATACTTATAAAAAAAACAAGTTGGATGATAATTTTCCTCATATTGTTGTCAAATAAGAACTTTTCATAAAATTGTATTACTCAAAATATTTTCATTATTCTTTTGAGTCAAATATATTTTCAATAAGAAATTTTTCAATAACCATATGTTAGTTGAGTTCTTCTAAATTATTCGTGGTACACTATAGAAACACTCAGAATTTCATTTTTATTAGCACTATGATAAACGAAACATGTTATTTTCAGTTTATCAAGAAAACGATAGATTGTTACATTCATTGTAATTATTTTGTAGAACTCACATAAAAATATGTGTGCAAGTTACGAGTTCCAGTTTTGTAGCTTTACCCGCTCGATCCTTGCGGACAGATTCCCCTTCCCCTCCCTCAACAGAAAAAAACGCCTAAAAAAATTTCATAAAAGTCAAAAATCTCAATGTTCAATCAAATTCATCAAAAAAATGTCGTTTTTTATGAGAGAAAAAAGTTTGGGTTTTTGACTTTCTTTGAAGTTTCTGAGGTTAAGATTGTTTTATGCAAAAATCGCAAAACTTTAAAATTAAGTAAATAATTTCTAACTACTAGATTTATTATAGAAATAAAAAATAAAAAACCACAAGAAAAAAAAATACTACATTAGAATAAAAAAAACGCTAGAATAAAAATGAACAAAAAAATTATTTGTCCTTTTAGTCGCCTTTGTGAAACCATTTTGAATCTTTGTTTTATTTCCTAAAAAGACAACAGTACATGAAATTAATATGATCGATCAATGTATCATATGCGTGCAACTTACGAAGGTTTAAAACTTCATTCAAATATATTTCTCTCTTCAAAGAACTAATATGAGTTCATTCATAAAAGATATCTAAGTACAAGATAACTCTCTTCGAGTATTGTGGAATATGATTAAGCGACCAAATATGGTACGATTGGCGGCAATCTTTTCAAAGTTTCTGTAAAATATTAACTAGAAAGATAAGCAGCATTTCCAGTGGTTGGAAAGACCACATCTTTCTTTTCTCTTGACACAGTTCTGTTAAATACAGATTTACAAATGTCCGAGTATAATGTAGCGGCACTTTTTATCATGCGTAGTCTAAAAAGTCTCTTAGTAGGATGACATGAATGTCGTTAATACTTAGACTATACTACATATATACACATCTCAAAGAGAGAAAAGAAACGAGTTGTAGCAGTTTATATTGTCAGATTCTCAGAACAATTGCGCTAGTATTTAGACATAATTCTATTTATGAAAAGTATTGATCAAAATATATTTTCAGTTCTTACCTGAAGGAATGAGTTATATCGCAGATAATATCATTGTACATGATGTCAATAAAGTTTGCCCAAATCTATTAGAATATTATATCGATTTTATTAGTAAAATCTGACCAGTCATAAACAGGAACGTTGTGTATTGAACAACGGATCAGTTACTCATCATTTGTTATTTTGTAAAACTCTATTAAAGACAATCAATGAAAGAGATTAGAGTCAACATCGATATGATTTATTGATACATATGTGTAAGGTTTTCTTTAATTGGATAGTAGGACTTTGAAAAAGTTACTTTTGAATACGGTACTCATATACAAAAACATTCGAAGTGGCAATATCGATCGATATTGGTTACACTAGCTAGGTTATCATATGATTTAATCAACTATT